CTAGAAGGTCATGCTCGTTGTATTATTCGATTAGTATAATCTCCATCGCTTTTCATACAATATTCAGAAGTCGAAACTTTTTTTTTTCATACAATGTAGTCTATACATCAGGTTTGTTTGTTTTGAAGTTAAGCACAAAGCTACACAATGGGCTATCTGTGCTCTGCCCACCACGGGTATCGAAACCCGGTTTCTAGTGTTGTAAGTCCGAAGACATACCACTGTGCCACTGGGGGGCTAAATCAGGTTTAGATGTACCCATTATAAAATACGATAGAAATGTTATTTTCTATACTAAGTTCCACGTACATTGCTCTGAGTTAGTCTAAATATATTGGTAGCATTGAATATAGACAACACCAAATATTTGTTCAGTACCTCTATCTAGTACATTTTTTTTTCTCTTTCTGTCAATAACTGAATGGACTTTGTATTGTATATTTTCAAACAATATAAAAATTTAACATTAATTTTGCTAGGATGCTTAGAAACTGCCACGAATAGTATCAGCAGTAAAAATCAGTGTTCAATTCCTGCAACGAATACAGCGCAGAGAGCCTATTGTGCAATTTTACGCTTGAAGAGAGCACGAACTGTGAATCTGAAGTTCATGGTTTGCGACTAATTATCATAGTAACGGTCTCCTCATTTTGGGACAGTGCATTATAACAGTGACGGTTAAATCACATTATTCCATTAGGAAAAAGTATACCAAGATTTGATGGTTCAAAATTAGGAACGGCTTTGCGCAGAAGCCCTTATGTAGTTTTCGCAAAATTCTGAAACAAATTAACTAAACTAACTTATGCCAATTAAGCTTAAACCTGATTGCAAAATTAATTCTAGAGTTTCGTCACGTATCAAAATCAATTCTTAAAGAAAGCACTAAGGAAAGAAAAAGGAAAAAAAACTTAGCTGTGTCAGTTCAATGGTTAATTATCATTCAACTATCAAAACAAAAAGACATTTTTTGTTTGAAATAGATTGAATTGGTAGTTATTTTTATTAACTAACAATTCCAGAAAAAGATTTACAGATATAAACACACACACACACACACACACACGTATATTATTTCCGTAACAAATATTCTAATCCTGTGACTTATTTGCATTACGTGAATTTCTAGCTTGGATCAGAGAATCTGAACTACACTGCACAAAACTTTTAATTGTATAACTGAAATGTATATTACCTTTTATGATACAATACAAAAACTAATGTGATTTAATTTTATCCTTTCTCCACTCACCCACACATGTGCATTTTTGATTTTATGCAAATCATGCATCTGGTGATCCGTCAGTTAATTTGAAATGCAAGTTGTCTTTTAACCTACGCTCATAAAGACAACTTTCCAGAACATTCTTTAGCACCTCTTAAGGGTATATCCTTTACTATCACTCTGCTGGACACTATATAAGCAATCTTTTCTTTCTCGACGAATCTACACATCTGTTTATAAACTGAAGGAGAGTTGTTTCGTTCCTTAAACTGAAGACAGAACCAATTGTATTAACTACATATGCTTCACAAGGAATTGTGAGAGGTGTTCTTTATAATGTTTACAATGATGATACATTCCATAAATATATACAGGTTGTGTGTCCTACACCCGCCTACACCATATTCCAACCAATAAAATATGTCTACATAAAATATTTCTGTATGAAAATGGTTCCATAGTCAAACCAAATGAGAATACACGTATTGCTTAGCTGCCAGATGAAACAGATCCTTTATTAAAAACGATATTTTTCCCACATGTTGTTGGTTCACTGTACTATTGCCAGTGAAGTATTTTTTGCCTTGTTGAAGTCTAGTCTCTGAATATTGCGACGGCATTCTATGTTCGACGACTGAAAACCAGGATTGACAAGAGTTGTCTGGTTGTGTTATGGAGAATATTCTCGTTGTCCGGGTGTTTAAGCAAAGTAAAGTATTACTTCACAAGCAATAGCACTAATATGTCCAGGTCTTCGGTTTAGGAAGGAGCCGTGCCACATTCTGTTAACGAGACTTTCAATAGTTGTGGCCAATTTACAGCATCCTGCTGTGGTTGGTCATCTTCCATTTGTCTCAAGGAAGGCTCCCCTCACGAGGGAAACATTCGAGCTCTCTCTCTCTCTCTCTCTCTCTCTCACACACACACACACACACACACACACACACACAGTCAGATTTTAAAATATAAAATTCTTATATATGTATATGGGTTGTTTTTTCTTTTTTTGCCAATTGTCAAAAATAAATAGATTTACTTATATTTCTTAATAGTATAAATATATGCTATGTAGTTGTTGGGCTTAGGATTCTTCTACAGTAGGTGTCTGACTTGTTAGCGATAAATTCAACGATAAATAAACAGCACACACTTTATTTATTTGAAATATTCGAAACAAGTTAAACGTATGTACAATAAAGTGTTCTTACTACAGAGAATATAATCATATCGTAAACGTTATATCAGTATATGTATAGTTCTGTTCTTGTCAAAAGTCCACTTATGCCTGTTCAATTACTTTAGAATCTCAATATTAGTCTGGTGTGATTCACTTACGATTGCGGTATTTCTTCTGGAGATCCCATGTTCCTTTTGTCAAAGTGCACTCAGGCTGATTCAGTTACTTTAGAATTTCGCTTTGACGGATTAAACTTATTTTTCTTATTTCCTTTTCCACTGTTAGTTTAACTCTAATAATAAATACATATACACACCAAACATTGAGCCTATCACTTTTACGTTACTTAACTTTATACTATATTCTCTTTGCTTTTATCTGTGATACTGTTTCTACCATTTTCTATATTCTCGACACCAATTTGTTAACAAAACCTTCTACAATCGTCTGTTTTTAACTCTTATTATAATAAAACTTAAAAATAATAAAATATTCACTCACAAATATAAATTAATCACAAATATTTAAACCAAATAGCGTTTTTATATGACAACATTATATATGTGAGCGCGCTGCCTTTCAAGCTGACCAGACACCCGATTTAAATAAAATATACTGAGGAGATGGTTGACGATACTTGACAGTGGTTTTACTTTGTATTAACTATTATGCTACAGATGACGATTACTTTTTAAATGTTTTTTCGCATTGCGTTTTAATTATAAACTTTGAAAGAAATTAAGTGTATGTAAAATGTTATAGCTTATGGAATAATAAGTCTAGATTAGTTAAATAATTTATTGCCAAATAAATATATTACAAGTCAGATAAACGTTTGACACTTGACGTGATTCCTATTACTACATAGTTATACAGTATCATCACTATTATTTATAAATTTGTGGTGTTTATAAATTGTATTTGTGACATTAGTAGCTACATCTATTTCATTTGGTTTCACTTAGATGCTTTAAGTATTACTTAGGTTTTGTTCTAACTGATCAATAATGTGAGAGAAGTTCTTAGAGAAACTGGAGGTTTTTTAAATGTTCCTCTTTTTAGCTCATACAGCTCTTAATATTATCTCATGGAAATCTATACGTGCGTTAAATAACAGGAAGATTGTTTAAGAACAAAGAAAACAAGTTTGTTTTTATATTAACACCCGCCACAGAAGCCAGTCGGCATCTTGAATGTGGATAAAAAAAAAATTCATACTGGTAAAATGAGTTTTTCTTTCTTCTCTAAACAAAACGAGAGAGAGAGATGTTCGGCACTATTTTCGAGGTCTAAGTCGCTGGATCAGACCAGTAACTGGACTTGTGACCTGACCCTAAAACACGAGATCCAACATTGAAGTTAACTTGTAAATGTAAAATAAAACGACGTATCAATGAAATATGCATGAAGTGTTATAGATGTGGTCATGAATGTAATGGTTTAAGTTTAGCAATTAAGCTAAACGGTGGGTTCAGGTCGGATGAGCGAAGAACGTTTTCAAAGATACCTACATCGAAACAAAAACAAAAAATGGGTACAATAGTGTCGTTAACTTCAAAAAGGGGGATGGGAATCATATACAAGAAATCGTTAGTTTCAATATATTGTGAAACTAACGACCCAGTGTAGACCAAATATGTAGTGTTGAAGGTGGAGCAGATGCACAACGCATTACAAGATATTCCTAGTGATTTTCAAACTTAAAATTCCATTTCTGCAATGAAAAGTAAATACAAGAAGGAAGGTATAATGCCCAGTATGGTACCAAACTATGAACCCTAAAGCACCGGTTTCTGGAATGACCCCCTGTTGATCTTCTTAGGTTCAGAACTAAAAGATACTGAACTGGCTCGTGTGTCTTGCGTTTAAGTATTTCAAATTTTAGGTTTCCTGCAGAAATTGTGTTTATGATAAAAATTCGCGACAATTAAGTTAATCTAATTCTTATAAGTTATTTAATAATCTATATTCTAATAAAGGATACACACTAAACGTTTTAGAAACGTTATTTTCCATTGTGATATTTATAAACACCTAATCTATTAATTGACAAAGTGTGAATGTGTGTATCCGCTTACAACTGGCGAGTCGCTGAACTGATTGTCACCCATGCTATCATGTACCTTAGGCCTCCAAGATGAGTGACATAGGGACCGACGTCTAGAGAACACGCAAGTCTTCCGCGTGCGTTTAACTGGTACGTCAACTAGTGTACAAGTACGTACTCATATTGTGAGCATTTAGTTATAGGTAAAAATTGTCCCTTTTCATACAGGTTAACTCAAACCCATTGAGTTTCTTCGACAAATACAGACGTCAGTGACTTTTTTAACAATATTTTTAAGTTATAATTATAACAATTTCGTCTACTTAGTAGTACCGCAGCGAAAACAAGTTAAAATAACGTTTGCGCCAATAAAGCATGATAAAGTACGAAGGATTAACTATCACAAAACTCCCGATAGAAATGAAGTGAATATCACGAAAGTTACAACTTTCGTTAGTTTTAATTCTAATTGCTATATATAAGCCAAATGGTTTACATAAACGTACCGTAAGAATTTGGCATCTCATAGAAGAGAAAATTTCGAGGCTCACCTGTTCGAGTAATATGTTGACTTCTTGTTCTCAGTTACAAAAACTCTTACGACAATCATTATCTAGAAACCACATCAGTTCATAACTATCAAAACCACGTACTTAAAAACGTTAAGTTTTACTCTTCAACCAAAACTCACAGCAAATGATAAAACGATGGCAAGGTGTCTTCTATCTTTACCGTTAACGGGAAGAATGGCTTGCTGGTTAAAAGTAACCACTTCTGCCGTCTGCGTTATCGATTATAGAACTGTTGCTCTACACCCAAAGATGGCGCTAGTGTCTTGTTCGCCTCGCTTCCAGGATCGTATTACCAGACAAGCACTTTATTATTCATTGGAGCAGAAACATACAATTTGGAAATATTTCAGAAAGTATCCTATTATTTTCTTCCACTTTTGTTATTTAGAACATATAACCACAGGTTCTCATACGAGTGGATAACGAAACGTTGTTTGGTGTTCATATCACTCTTACGGATCAACAGAACATTTTGTAGTCGTTAGAAAATTAAATATTTTTACTAAAATAGATTAAATGGATCAAATTCTTGATTTAGCACGTGAAAGTATAATTAAAATGAACAATTGTTCTAAAGAATTAATTAACGGAGCTTTCAGGTCTGCAAATATAGCATTTTCATCCTGGAGTTACTTTAACAACTAAATACAGATAACACAGTTACTTGTCAATTTGATTATTTACTTAATATATGTCACTCACGGACATTTGTGTTGCAATGATGACTTAATATTATTGTGCAACTAATTACAGATAATTAGTTGTCAGATATATTATTACCCCCTAATTAAGGCGGGTTTGTTTTCACCACTCTCCCTGTGAACAGTACAACTGACTTTGAAAACATTTGACACAAAGGTTCATTGTCCCCCGAGGGCAAATTGAGTAACTTTTGGTAAATATAGGTCAAATGTCAAGAACACACCGAATATTAATACCAAAACTAAAGATAGTTTCGTCTCATCTTTATGAAATAGAGTACAAAGCTTCAGTTACCCCCCTCCCCCATGGACTAATGTGTTCAAACCTGCTGATTGTAGCTCCAAAGTAACGGTCAACCATTTTAGTTATAGCTATAGCATATTGAAATTTTCAAAAACAAACTTAAAGAACAAATTGAGATAGAAAAGTTATCTTTGCACTTACATCTAAGTTGTTTTTTTCAAGCTTTACGTAACAATACGCTATAAAGACAACGTACTATTCTTGTTTAAGGATCTTGTCATATTCCATAGTTTCTAAGTGGCTCAGCGGTAAGTCTGAAGACTTATAACGCTAAAAAGCCGGATTTGGATACAGTGGTGAACAAAACGGATATTCCATAGTATAGTTTGTGCTTATCAACAAAAATATATGACAATGCATTTCTATATACGAATTCAATATAACAACAAATTTTCTGTTCTTTTTCTTTAATGGGAATTAACTTTTTACAAATGACTTCGAGAGTTAAATTCTACTGAATTTATTTTGAATGATATGATGTGTTTTGCTAAGCTACAAATTGTCACAACTCGCTTCAATATCTACAAAAATTCTGACAAGAAAGATAAATACACTTTAACCCTCATCAACTTATCTTTACACGTTTCATTTATCAAGTTTACCGAGTTTAAAATCAATTACGTGTGTGAGCGAATCTTTAGAAATATACAAGAATAGGGCATCCTTTGTCGAACAGTCATAACAGCATATAAAAGTATACTGACAATCCATACATATGCATAGGGTTGGGTAAGTTATTTTAACGTGATTTTTAATATAAAAATCAACACGTCACATCAAATTTTGGGAGGATATGTAACAGCTCTTTCCGTTACATAAATATATTCCGATCATAAACGTGTTCAGATAGAGGATTTAGAATTTCTAAGATGTACATTGCATAAAATATGGATTACCTTGGGGAGCTAGAACCATCCAGAAAGAGACCTATAACAAGTCATACCCTAGTCGTGGTAAGGAAAATGCAGGGTTTTGTAACAGGTGATAATTCAAGACTATAAAGTTCAGTGATAAAAACAGTTTACTTGGCCCATGCAACAGTACAAAATATAATCAAGAAGGATTTCAGTCTGATAAAACAACACAAGTTACGTGTACACAAATTACTTACGATAAACAAGTGTTCAACTGTTAAATGCCTCAAGCAGCTGGAGAAAGGCTGTGACGATTTTTTATTATATATTTAGTTTAATATCGATGTTTGCTTGAATTAAGTTAATATTTACAAATGTAGATAACTTGTACTGTTAAATATCTATTGCGAAACTCCCACCTATTCTCCAAAGTTGTAGAAGATTCACGAGTGCAAGAATCAACAATATATGTATGTAGGTAAGCGTTTAATGTAGCTTTATATTGTTACGTAATTTGAATTCGAGAAACTCTCCATAAGCCTATAAATATAACCAACAAGACGCGCCAAAAAAATATCTGTTATTAGTTTGCTATAGTCAGTGTGCTATAAGCTTCGGAAGCTACAACTCCGATTGTTATAACGTTTGTCATTCGGAAAAACTTTAGATATTTGACCAGGAGCATTTACAAAGTTCGAACATTACAAATAATTTAACTTCAGTGGATTCTCATTGGACATTAGTATTTTTTACGAAAATATTATATAACTTGTCGGTGGAAAACTGCGTGTGCAGCTGGTGAATAACTAAGGACAAAGCTAGTTAGCTCCCCGTTAAGCGAATCGTACCTACATCAACTCGTAATTAACTCGCTCATCGTGAACCCTCGATAAGGTAAAGGAAGTTCCAGACTAGACAGAAGACTTTATATTGCTTGTAAGTTCGTAATTTGTTTGTACATAAATCATTGTGTGTAATAACTATTTGTGATAACTTATTGTAAATTAAAACATATTTGTGTTAAAAAGAAAACTGTATCAATCTTGTTGGCAAATATTATAAATTGGATTTAGCAGTTAAGTGAAAGCCGATATATCTCCAAAGTACAATTCAACTACTAAATTTAAAGTATCAGTTAACTCAGTTTCAGGCTATTTGAAGCTTTAATACGTAAAAAGGCATACAGGAAAAATAACCGGACACGGCTCCCATGGATTTCTGGAAGTGTACTTTCGAAACGGGCACTGAAAAATTGTCTTCCTACACCAAATGGATTATGGAAAGCCAGAATGGATTAGTAGTCCACTTTAGATATTACAGCCTACGATGGAAACTTTTCCGATTAAAAATTAAATTGCATTTGTATTGTTAAGATGGACTGTAAGAATGTGGTGAGGCTCCATAACAGTTTTGATATAACAAACTTAACCTCTAT